TCGTGTGTGTGTGTGTGTGTGTGTGGCTGATGTTCGTGTGTGTGTGTGTGTGTGTGTGTGTGGGGCTGATGTTCATGTGTGTGTGCGTGTGTGTGTGTGTGTGTGTGTGTGGCTGATGTTCGTGTGTGTGTGTGTGTGTGTGTGTGTGTGTGTGTGGGGCTGATGTTCATGTGTGTGTGTGTGTGTGTGTGTGTGTGTGTGTGGGGCTGATGTTCATGTGTGTGGCTGATGTTCATGTGTGTGCGTGTGTGTGTGTGTGTGTGTGTGTGTGGGGCTGATGTTCGTGTGTGTGTGTGTGTGTGTGTGTGTGGGGCTGATGTTCATGTGTGTGTGTGTGTGTGGGGCTGATGTTCGTGTGTGTGTGTGTGTGTGTGTGTGTGGGGCTGATGTTCGTGTGTGTGTGTGTGTGTGTGTGTGTGTGTGGGGCTGGAAACACGTCTCAGTCGATCTCAGTGCAGCTCGTTCATTATCCACATTATTTGTTTCTTTTAACTCAATATTTTCAGAGATGAAATGTTTGAAACCTGCGCTTCATAAGCGAGTGTGTGTGTGTGTGTGTGTGTGTGTGTGTGTGTGTGTGTGTGTGTTCCTCAGTGTTGCTCCTGACAGAGGCTGTTTTTAGCCTAATATTTTAAAATAGATTAACTAAAATATAAAAATAGAAGCTATTTCAAAGTATTAATAAACACTATAATAAACAACGCTCATGACTTCTGCTGAGTTACAGGATAAGCTCAAATATCGTCATATTATTCATTTACACATTATTTCATGACCCACTAGTTATTGTGTGTGTGTGTGTGTGTGTGTGTCTGACAGGGGAAATGTTGAGTTCCGGTTCAGGTCTGAATACTTGAATTAATGTCCCTAATTGTGTCTAATTAACGTGTTTGTTTGTGTTGTTAGTTAGCGTAGCGTTCTCTCTCTGCATTCAGACTGCGTTTGATTTGATCAAGTGTGTTGTGTGTGTTGTGTGTGTTGTAAGCGGTTCCCAGCGCTCCTTTCACTGGCCTGGACTGGGATCAGTTGTTTACTGGCAGGCGGTTCGAGCGACGGATTAATCCCGGTTATTTGCATCCTGGTGGATTGGATGAGTGTTCGGTTAATTAGCGATCACTGCTAGATTGTTCTGAAGGAACTCGTTAGTGTTGAGAAGTTATTCTGAAACTGTGCTTCGACAAACTACAAGATATTCACAGTTTAAATGAGTTCGACTACAGTCAAACTACTAACAAAAGTGTTTGAACCAATTCGTTTTGACCAAATAAAATAGTGAACAGCCCAAATGAATGGATTTATTTAAGTGATCAGTCAATATGAACCAATTAATTTAAGTGAATCATCTAAATAAACAGTTTTTTTACGTGAACCATGCAAACCTTGAACTGATTAATTTAAGTGAACTGTCCGAATTAACCGATTCATTTAAATAAACCATGCTAATGAACTGATTCATTTTAGTAAATTATTCAAATGAACAAATTAATTTAAGCGATCCATGCAAATGAACCAATTCATTTTGGTGAATCATTCAAATGAACCAATACATTTGAGCGACCATTCAACTGAACCGATTCATTTAAGTGAACCATGCAAATGAACCGATTCATTTAAGTGAACTATGCAAATGAACCGATTCATTTAACTGAACCATGCAAATGAACACATTAATTTAAGCGAACCATTTAAATTAACCGATTCATTTAAGTGAACCATGCAAATGAACACATTAATTTAAGCGAACTATGCAAATGAACCGATTCATTTAAGTGAACCATGCAAATGAACACATTAATTTAAGCGATCCATCCAAATGAACCGATTCATTTGAGTGAATCATCCAAATGAACAAATTAATTTTAGTGACCCGTTCAAATGAACCAATTCATTTAAGTGTACCATGCAAATGAACACATTAATTTAAGCGAACCATGCAAATGAACCGATTCATTTGAGAGAGCCGTTCAACTGAACCGATTCATTTAAGTAAACCATGCAAATGAACATATTCATTTAAGCGAAACATGCAAATGAACCAATTCATTTTAGTGAATCATCCAAATGAACCGGTTCATTTTAGTGAATCATCCAAATGAGCCAATTCATTTTAGCGTACCCATTCAAACGAATTTATTTGAGTGAATCATCCAAATGAACCGATTCATTTGAGCAACCCATTCAAATGAACATATTCATTTAAGCGAACCATGCAAATGAACCAATTCATTTTAGCGGACCCATTCAAACGAATTTCTTTGAGTGAATCATCCAAAAGAACAGATTCATTTGAGCAACCCGTTCAAATGATTCGATTCATTTGAGCAACCCATTCAAATGAACCGATTCATTTGAGCAACCCATTCAAATGAACCGATTCATTTAAGTGAACCATCAAAGTAAGTTGTGTCTGTGAATGTCTCCAGGTTAGCATGGTTGCTGTTTCAGTGTGTTTCTGCCCTGAGGATCTAGAATGCTTCATCTGATTCCTCTGTCTCTGCAGACGGCGTTCACTCGGTGTCGGCTCAGTGTCTGCTCCAGGTCACGGTCATCACCGACGAGATGCTCTCCAACAGCATCACGCTGCGATTGGCCAACACGTCCCAGGAGCGCTTCCTCTCGCTGCGATTGGCCCAGTTCCTGGAGGGCGTGGCCCGCGTTCTCTCGGCGTCCCGTGAAGACGTGGTGGTGTTCAACGTCCAGGACGACACCGACGTCAGCGCCGGGATCCTGAACGTCAGCCTGTCCGTGGCCCTGCCGGTCGAGGGGTCGCGGGGTCGCGGGGTCACGACCCGGCTGGGCGAGTTCTTCGGGTCGGAGGAGCTTCAGGAGCGCTTGTATCTGAACCGGAGTCTCCTGGCGCAGATCTCCTCGCAGGAGGTGCTCCCGTTCGACGACAACATCTGCCTGCGCGAGCCGTGCGAGAACTACATGAAGTGTGTGTCCGTGCTGAAGTTCGACAGCCTGGCGCCGTTCGTGGCGTCGGACACCATCTTGTTCCGGCCGATCCACCCGATCGCGGGTCTGCGGTGCCGCTGTCCAATCGGCTTCACCGGCGACTACTGCGAGACGGAGATCGACCTGTGCTACGCTAAACCCTGCGGCGCTAACGGCGTCTGCCGCGGCCACGAGGGCGGCTTCACCTGCGAGTGTCTCCACGACTACACAGGTGAGGGGGCGGAGCCTCTGCTAACACACACACACACACACCTCTCTCAGGCCTGGTCCACACTGATACAGCGTTTCTATTAATGAAAACAAAGCTTTTTGAAAACGCTCTATGTTCCTTTTAGTGAATCGTTCGAATGAACCGATTCATTTTAGTGAATCGTTCGAATGAACCGATTCATTTTAGTGAATCGTTCGAATGAACCGATTCATTATAGTGAATCATCCAAATGAACCAAGGCAAGGCAAATTTACGGTAAAAAACGGCAGCTGTGGTTGCCAGAAATTTACCATAAAAAATACGGTAGCAACATTTAAAGTTTTACAGGCTTAAATTCATAACAATAAACCCTATTTCATTATCTGATATAATGTTAATTTATCGACCTATTGAAGTACTTATATCTGTTTTGTGCCATACACTGACAACCACCAATCACAGTGGAGATGAGTCACATGATCAATCACAGCTCATCACAGTTGTAAACACTACTGGTAGTGCAATTGCATGTTTTGTTGAGATGATCCTTTTGCTGGTGTTTTATCTGTAATTTTGTATTACGAAAGGACTCATCATTGGAAATGCTCATTGTCCACTGTATTAACCTGCTGTCACCTTGCCTCTGTCCAGGGACTACAGATGAAAATTAGCTTCTAGCTATTTCTGGTCTGTGCAACACATTTGTTGTGCAATGTCCCTGTTAAATAAACAAATAAAAAAAATAAAAAAATCACAAGCAGCTTTTACACAAGAAAGTTAATACTAATCAATAAACATTAATTTAACAACATTAAATGTAACATAAAACCCTAATTAATGTAAATAACTGATTAGAAAAAAAAAAAGAAAAACTATGAAGAAACAGTTATTTCAAAAAAAATACATCAAATGTGACGTGTCACGCAGGGAATTGTGGGAATGTTAATTTTTCAAGAGTTTTTTTCAAAACTGTACTGTTAACGGTATTTTACTGTAAAATTACATTCACCGTAGCATTTTTACAGTCTTTTATTATGTGTCTATCCTGTTATGTGCTGTTCACTTTCACACAGTTGCTACGTTACTTCACACACTCTTCACATCACAGTCCTGCACAGACGGAGAGAGAGCGATCTGGGCGATCAGGGAATGTAGAGATATTCTGCTGAATAAAATGACCCTGTCAGAAGAATTGCGCGATAATTTTATTATTAATTTTTCCGTCTGCATCATCTCAGTGAGCTTCTGTGAGGGTTTACGTATGCGCAGTAAAGGTGAGTTTAGCGGTTTCAGGCGTTTTGCAAAAGTTTTAGCAAAACGCCTGTAAACGTCGGAGTCAGAAAACGCCTGAAAACGCCGCAAAACGCCCGAAAGCGCCTGAAAACGGAGTCGGAAAACGCCTGAAAACGTTGGAGTCGAAAAACGCCTGAAAACGTAGTCGGAAAACGCCTGAAAACATCGGAAAACGCAGCAAAACGCCCGAAAACGTAGTCGGAAAACGCCTGAAAACGTCTGAAAACGTTGGAAAACGTCGGAAACCGTTGGAGTCGGAAAACGCCCGAAAGCGCCTGAAAACGCCTGAAAACATCGGAAAACGCAGCAAAACGCCCGAAAACGTAGTCGGAAAACGCCCGAAAACGTAGTCGGAAAACGCCTGAAAACGTTGGAAAACGCCTGAAAACGTTGGAAAACGTCTGAAAACGGCGGAAAACGTCGGAAACCGTTGGAGTCGGAAAACGCCGGAAACTGTTGGAAAACGCCTGTAAACGTTGGAGTCGGAAAATGCCTTAAAACGCTGCAAAACGCCCTAAAACGCCTGAAACCGTCGGAGTTGGAAAACGGCTGAAAGCGCCTGAAAACGCGAGTGTGGACGCGAGTGCGTTTTCAAATGTATCCGGATTAATGTAGACGTGGCCTCAGATTCTGATTAAACTTCTGCATCATTCATGTTGTCATAAGAGCGCAGTGAAAAGTTAATAATGCGGAATCATATTTGATGTAGTGCTCTGAGAGGCGTGTGTTCGAGGTCTCGAGTTCTGCCTCTGCGTGAGAAACCCCTTCAGGAGCGCTTGATCTCTCCAGAACCTGATATCATATTATATATATATATATATATTAATATAAACGGCTTGATATTGCAGTCATGTACTCAAACATTACAGCGTCTCCCAGAGCCGAGTCCAGCACACGACTCGTTAGAGGGGTCATCTCAGAGAGTAGAGGATTCGAGATGATGATGTGAGATATGGTGATCAGTGATGATGATGTGATGTGTGTATAAGGAGATGATCTGAGATCAGTGATGATGTGATGTGTGTATAAGGAGATGATCTGAGATCAGTGATGATGTGATGTGTGTATAAGGAGATGATCTGAGATCAGTGATGATGTGATGTGTGTATAAGGAGATGATCTGAGATCAGTGATGATGTGATGTGTGTATAAGGAGATGATCAGGTGATCAGTGATGATGTGATGTGTGTATAAGGAGATGATCTGGTGATCAGTGATGATGTGATGTGTGTATAAGGAGATGATCTGAGATCAGTGATGATGTGATGTGTGTATAAGGAGATGATCAGGTGATCAGTGATGATGTGATGTGTGTATAAGGAGATGATCAGGTGATCAGTGATGATGTGATGTGTGTATAAGGAGATGATCTGAGATCAGTGATGATGTGATGTGTGTATAAGGAGATGATCTGAGATCAGTGATGATGTGATGTGTGTATAAGGAGATGATCTGAGATCAGTGATGATGTGATGTGTGTATAAGGAGATGATCTGAGATCAGTGATGATGTGATGTGTGTATAAGGAGATGATCTGAGATCAGTGATGATGTGATGTGTGTATAAGGAGATGATCAGGTGATCAGTGATGATGTGATGTGTGTATAAGGAGATGATCAGGTGATCAGTGATGATGTGATGTGTGTATAAGGAGATGATCTGAGATCAGTGATGATGTGATGTGTGTATAAGGAGATGATCTGAGATCAGTGATGATGTGATGTGTGTATAAGGAGATGATCTGAGATCAGTGATGATGTGATGTGTGTATAAGGAGATGATCTGAGATCAGTGATGATGTGATGTGTGTATAAGGAGATGATCAGGTGATCAGTGATGATGTGATGTGTGTATAAGGAGATGATCTGAGATCAGTGATGATGTGATGTGTGTATAAGGAGATGATCTGAGATCAGTGATGATGTGATGTGTGTATAAGGAGATGATCTGAGATCAGTGATGATGTGATGTGTGTATAAGGAGATGATCTGAGATCAGTGATGATGTGATGTGTGTATAAGGAGATGATCAGGTGATCAGTGATGATGTGATGTGTGTATTAGGAGATGATCTGAGATCAGTGATGATGTGATGTGTGTATAAGGAGATGATCTGAGATCAGTGATGATGTGATGTGTGTATAAGGAGATGATCTGAGATCAGTGATGATGTGATGTGTGTATAAGGAGATGATCAGGTGATCAGTGATGATGTGATGTGTGTATAAGGAGATGATCAGGTGATCAGTGATGATGTGATGTGTGTATAAGGAGATGATCTGAGATCAGTGATGATGTGATGTGTGTATAAGGAGATGATCTGAGATCAGTGATGATGTGATGTGTGTATAAGGAGATGATCAGGTGATCAGTGATGATGTGATGTGTGTATAAGGAGATGATCTGAGATCAGTGATGATGTGATGTGTGTATAAGGAGATGATCAGAGATCAGTGATGATGTGATGTGTGTATAAGGAGATGATCTGAGATCAGTGATGATGTGATGTGTGTATAAGGAGATGATCAGGTGATCAGTGATGATGTGATGTGTGTATAAGGAGATGATCTGAGATCAGTGATGATGTGATGTGTGTATAAGGAGATGATCAGGTGATCAGTGATGATGTGATGTGTGTATAAGGAGATGATCTGAGATCAGTGATGATGTGATGTGTGTATAAGGAGATGATCTGAGATCAGTGATGATGTGATGTGTGTATAAGGAGATGATCTGAGATCAGTGATGATGTGATGTGTGTATAAGGAGATGATCTGAGATCAGTGATGATGTGATGTGTGTATAAGGAGATGATCTGAGATCAGTGATGATGTGATGTGTGTATAAGGAGATGATCTGAGATCAGTGATGATGTGATGTGTGTATAAGGAGATGATCTGAGATCAGTGATGATGTGATGTGTGTATAAGGAGATGATCAGGTGATCAGTGATGATGTGATGTGTGTATAAGGAGATGATCTGAGATCAGTGATGATGTGATGTGTGTATAAGGAGATGATCTGAGATCAGTGATGATGTGATGTGTGTATAAGGAGATGATCAGGTGATCAGTGATGATGTGATGTGTGTATAAGGAGATGATCTGAGATCAGTGATGATGTGATGTGTGTATAAGGAGATGATCTGAGATCAGTGATGATGTGATGTGTGTATAAGGAGATGATCTGAGATCAGTGATGATGTGATGTGTGTATAAGGAGATGATCTGAGATCAGTGATGATGTGATGTGTGTATAAGGAGATGATCTGAGATCAGTGATGATGTGATGTGTGTATAAGGAGATGATCTGAGATCAGTGATGATGTGATGTGTGTATTAGGAGATGATCTGAGATCAGTGATGATGTGATGTGTGTATAAGGAGATGATCTGAGATCAGTGATGATGTGATGTGTGTATAAGGAGATGATCTGAGATCAGTGATGATGTGATGTGTGTATAAGGAGATGATCTGAGATCAGTGATGATGTGATGTGTGTATAAGGAGATGATCAGAGATCAGTGATGATGTGATGTGTGTATAAGGAGATGATCTGAGATCAGTGATGATGTGATGTGTGTATAAGGAGATGATCTGAGATCAGTGATGATGTGATGTGTGTATAAGGAGATGATCTGAGATCAGTGATGATGTCATGTGTGTATAAGGAGATGATCTGAGATCAGTGATGATGTGATGTGTGTATAAGGAGATGATCTGAGATCAG